GTCTTCATGACTGTAGGTCCTGTGCTCTATCCACTGTACCACGTAGCTGCCCAAACATATGTAAATATGCACAGAATTAATAAGAAAACTATGAATACAGATAAACACAAGGTAGTTAGAGAGGTGGAGAACATAGCAAGTGTGGGATCAGGAAAAGCTTTATCTAGAAGATAGTACTACAGATGGAGGTGGAAAAAAGGAATTTTTTGAGGTGAAAGTGAAGCCTGTTGCAGGCTTGACTCAAGGCACAGATGGGAACGTGTGAGGAACAGAGAGAAAACCAGTTTGGCTGGACTACAGAGTAGAGGAGTAATGAGACTGCAACTAACTTGATATGTGGGTGAAGGAGAATGCCTAGGTTGCAGTCCATAAGGGCTTGTTTCTGGTGGGTGGATTGTGTCTGGTGAGCAAAATTCTACTGGATTGGTTGCAATAAATAAAAATGGCTTTTTCCACTCCTTCCCCTCAAAATAGTAGAAGACAGTCTGGAAATTAATACTCTGTCTTACTGTGATGCAGTTTCTTAAGTACCTGGATATACTTGGGCCACGTCCTCTTCTGCAGAAAGCCAATTACTTGAAATTTGATTATAGCTCTGATTTCAGAAATTTAGGATTTTTCTAGTAGTTGTAAAATTTTCAAAATATTAATTTACCCTAATCTTTAATAACCATGTCAGAAAGCTTTGCGGGAGTACAGAATAATGTGCTGCAACATCAAGGTTGAAAATTGCTCTAAGAGAGGAATGTGGAAACGAGAAGCTGCATCCCAGATTCCAATTCAGATGCTGTTCTTATATTCCTTCTTAACACAGGTTAGGAGGGGTTTGCTAGACCATAGACTTTTAAAGCCTTTTTAGCATAGTAGTGGGAGCAAGGCTGTCAGAGACTGATTAAAAAATAACTTACCATAACTTGCCATCTTCCCTAGGCTGGCAAATTGAGTGGAAGATTTGTTCCAGTTTTTGAAATCAGAATTATAATTTCAGTTTTGCTTCTATCCAGGCAGTTCTGCTGTGGAGAGAAGAAATGTGGAATAAAAGAAATAGAACATTGGGTCAAGTTTAATAGGGATGAATGTCTTACACTTGGCTTTGAAAAATCTGTTTCACAAGTTCAAGATAGAAAAGGCATTGCTAGACAAGTTTATCTGGCAACATTTGTCAGATTCTAGAATATAAGTTCACTGGGTCAGTCATGTGATGTAGCTAATGCTATGATCCCAAGATATGATATGATCCCAAGAAAGCTAATGCTATCTTAGACTGCATTAAGAGTGACATAACATAGCTGTACCACACCTAGAGCATTGTGTTCAGTTTTTGACACCCCATTTTAGAAAGGACATTGATCAGCCAGTGAATGTCTGAGGGTAACAAACTTGTTGAATAGCCTTGAGTTTATGTAATATGAGGATCAATTGAAGGCACTGAGGATTGTAGCATAAAGAAGAGAAAACTCAGGATGGGACACAAAAGCTGCCTTGAAGGGATTTGAATAACTGCCACATGGAAGAGGGATTAGACTTGTTCAGCTTGATCCCAGAGTACAGAATTGGGAACTATAAGTAGACATTGCAGAAGCAAATTTAGGTTTAATAGAAGATAGCTTAATAGAATAGTTTAATGGAACTATCCAAAAGTTCAGTGGGCTGTCCTGGGACATAATGTGTTTACCCTCTCTAGGGGTCTTCAGGCAAAAACTCAATGACTTCTTATCAGGTAATTGTAAATGGTATCCTTTTTCAGATGTGGGTTGGACTTGATGGCCTCTGAGATCCATTCCAATTCCAAAATTTTGTGATTTGTATCTAGCAGTGTTTCATACACAGTACATACTTAGCAAGTTGTTCAAAGGAAACCCAAATGGGATTTCTAGGGACTATGGTGTTTGGGGCAGGACAACATAGGTCTAAACCTAAACTCTATCCTTCTCTAAAGTTAGCATACCTGTTTCCTAATTTGTAACATATATGTACTTTTATGAGCTTTCAACATAGAAATAGATTTAAGAAAAAGAGCTCCAAGTAGGTATTTAAGTCTTAAATTGCTGACTCCCGTGTTATAACATCACTTAATCCATTGTACTTTATAATGCCTCTTGCTGGGTTCCATTCCAGTCCCTGGCTGACTTTTGCTTGCCTGAGTTTTGTAAACCTGGCCATAGAAACCTCTGGGAGAACACTAACCTTTCTGTTGCAATGGCATTTCTCATTTGCACATTTGTCCCAAACAAGTCTTGTAGCATGCTCAAAAACAGGGTAGTTTGGGCTTTCACCCATACTCAGCAAACTCAACAGATCTTGCCCCATTGACTGACCCTGAGTCCTTTGCCACTATCTTTCCCTCCAGTACATATTTGTGATTCCACTACAGATGAGGTATTTCCAACCTTTTTTGTGTCATGGACTCCTGACAGTGTTGAAATTTCTTCTTAGAATAATTTTTTAAAACTCAGAATTGAAGGATATGCTAAATTTCAGTTAGAGGGCAGTGAAAATAAATATAATTTTTTTTCCCTGCCCAAGTTCATGGACCCCCTGAAATTTATCCACAGCTCCTGGAGGGACCCAAGGATATAGTTGATGCTTTTACTCTAGGACTCTAATATTGATTTGGGACTCCTTAGTTGTTCACCACTTCCTTGCAGCCACTGAATGTTTATCTAGATAGTTTCCCGATTGTTTTCCTAAAATCTTAACCATGAACTCTACAACTATTAACCAGATTCCTTTGTTTGACAGGGTTGGTAAGAGAAGGTCAGCTAAATGGCTCGTCTGCAGCACACAGTGAATTAAGAGGTACAAACTACTTTTCTTCTACAGACTCTGAAGTTAGGGAAATTTAAGTCTTAAGCAAGCACTGTGCGCTTCCACCTATAAGGGGAAGTCTTTTTTAAAAGGGCTTAGGAAGTATTTGTGAAAGGGAGACTCCATGCATTGCAGGATCTAACTGCTTTAGTTACTGTTAAATTTAAGATCTGCATGCAGCTCACAAAGACATCTCAAACAACGGATAATTATATGGCTATGTTAAAATGTTACGGTTCTGTGATATGATCCCAAGAGTTAGCTATGGTCCTAAATCTCTACAGCTCTAGAGAATGGTACACCTACCTTTTTTCAGAAGTTACTTCTACCTTTTTCTCTCTCCCCACAGGGTGTAGTACATGAGGGGCTAAAAAAACCCAACACAGAGCAAAAGCCACAGCTCTCAGGCCCCATCACAGTGTTCAACAATCTTACAAGAATCCATCAGCTCCCAGAAAATACCAAAATGAAGAAGAGATTGAAGGTTCAGGGGAGAAACTGAAAAGGGGCCTACCTTGTTCCTTTGGTTTGGTTCCTGCTGGGCTTGGTTATCCTGCTGCCTGTTCTATTTCCAAGAATACCCTAGGGACCACTGGGCCCTTCATGGGTTGGACATGCTTGTGTCCACTGAACAGATCAATGTGATGCCTCTCCATGCCTCTCCTGGTTGTCACAGCATCTCTGCATGAAGGACTTGGGGATCTAGGTACCATGGAGCTGCCATGGTCCCTGCTGCAGTTTTGTACTCTGTACTATGGTTTTTCAATTAAGCTTAATGGCATTTTTTAAACATGACTTGAAGCTCTAGTTTTCTAGACCTTTTACAATGTACAGTATTTTGCATATCTGAGCTGTAATAAAAGCCTGTTCATTTACTTTCTCAGACTCTGGCTTTAATCATAAGGTCACGTCACACATTCAGTGGAAGTTAAGTAAGTTAGGATTTGCACTGGTCCTGGTTTCTTTCAATAAAAACAGGTTTATAATATTTAGCAATCAGAAATCTCCAGTATCTCCCTTGGTGCAAAAGGGTTATTATAGAGACTTGACAGTGAATACTTGACACTGCCCTTCAAATGTAGGTTTTGAGGTTCTCTTTCCACCTACAGCAACTGACAAAGTAGAAGCATCCCTTTTCAGGGTTAATGTATTGCCATCTCACAACTGCTTGCTTTCACCATATACCTAGAGAAGCTTCCATTCTTGTCAGTATGTACTTGAAGATCAGAAGTTGATACTGTTTCTTTTCCAAGACACCAAGATTACCTGGCAGCCTTACACCCAAATGTCAGGATTTATAGCTGATGTGAAATCCCCGAATTCAACGTTCAGACACTAACATTGCAAACAGAAAACGCAGTATTATTTATGAAATTTATTTTCTTTATATAAATTACGTATTTCTCTGGGCAGACAGCCTTTACCTTATTGCACTAACAGCACATCTGCAATACCGAGCTACAAGACAAATCTTAACAAGAATTTGTATTCTTCAACGTAGCACTTGTATACCAGGCACTCTGGAGAGGACAGGGGTAAGGAAGCCGCCAGCCTCCCGTAACAGGATCTGCTGGGAAGGGTAAAAAATGGGAAGGGGGAAAGGTATGCCTTTCCAACGGGACACCCAGGAAGGGCAACATGCAAAGCTCACAAATGAACTCTAGGAAAGGGCTGGGAGGGTGTGTTAAAAAGGCCAACAAGCACACTGCAGCTTCACTCCCCTTGTTTGGGAAGTTTAGCTCTGAAGGAAGCAGGGACTTACCTCTGCCTCTTCACTTGTAACAGGTCACCCTGGCCTAGCTGTATATTTTAAAGTTATGGGTGAGCTACAGTTGTCAGAATTAGCAGCAATTAAGAATATGTCATACACTGACTGAGGTGGATTCTAGCCTGTGCCACAGCACATAAATAGGGAATGAAAGCCATGTATGTCTCAGTGATTAGTGCCAAATCAAGACGTAGGGCTGCTTTGGTAGAAGTACCAAATCAAGCATGAATCTGAAGCTGCTTATTAGGCACAGAGGTGCCTTGGACCACACTCACAGTGTGGACAATAGAAAGCTCTGGTGTCAGGGTCTTCCAGCCATTGGTCAAAGCTGTAATGAGACAGTACAGTATAGGCAGAGTGAAGGGGACCCCTGAGTTGGGTGGGGGAGGACTAGAGGGCTGCACTGAGGGTCAATGGGCAGTGATTGAAACATGATTGGGCCCTCCTGGCAGATAAAGAATCTAGGTTAGGTGGGGAGGCTGGCCGGGACAAGGTTCTGGGAAAATTGCAAGCCCCTGGAGCTCCCTTTATTCTGTGTTTGCAATACATTCGTGACAAGCTGATCTCATACTTCAAAAAACATTCTAGACACAGGGGAGGAAAGGGTAGAGGAAAGCAGTGATTTGGTATGGGGTGCTGCATCAAGTTAAGCCTTCATGAGGGCAGCCACCACAGCCTTGGCATTGAGGCTACGCAGGTCACTGTAGGTCTGGCCAGTCCCAACAAAGACAATGGGTTTGCTTGTGATGTATGTCATAGAAATGGCAGCACCCACCTGCAAAAGGGAAAAGAAACAACCCAGTCAGTTCTAGCCCATCTCTTCTTTAATCCAATCCACTGAGAACAAGATAGGGAGGACAGCACTAGAAAAATCTACTGGCTTTATGGCCTCCACTTTTTCTGTGTACTGCAAAGGATTCCTGGCCTTAAGATTTACTTTGTTCAATGTTCACTGCCCTTTTTTTTTTACCTTGTCATCAATGGTATCAAATTTGGTGAGAACAATGCCATCAATGAGCCGGGGTGTTTGAGCCATAGAGTGGTCAGCCAGAGCTTTGTTGAATTTTACCTACAAGAGTGAAAAGGTAGTGTTAAGAGCCAACCATGAAAGTAATAGTAAAGAAATAAGCAAAAAGGCACTTACCAGCTGATCTACAGCTTCATTTCCCACCAAGGCCTCCCCAACAAACAGCACCAGGTCAGGTGTGTTGACAGCAATGAGTTTGGCCAGAGCAGTCATCAAGGGTGCATTGTCTTGCATTCGGCCAGCTGTATCCACCAAGACCACATCAAAGGCCTGATTCCGAGCTGCAGAGAGAGAATACTCGTCATGTCAAATGGATTGGGGGGGGGTGACTATTAGGTTTGGACATCCTCATTTTTCAACTTTGGTCTTTTGACAGTCATATCAGGGCTGTATTAAAAGCTTGTTAATTTCCTTTCCCAAGCCTGGGTTCTAATTATAAATATGAGACTAACCAAGTGGAGGAATTTTGCCTCAGGTTAGGCTACCACCACTAGATGGAAAGATGGAAGATGCAGCAAGAATATGCTACTTAAAGGACCAGGGCTCTCTGGTAACAAGAGTTGAGATTTGACATAATTAGTCATAAAGCAACTGTACACAAGGTCTAAGAGCTCTGACCTTTATTAAGGTGGCACCCTTGGGGATTTGCCAACCCACCTGGAAAGAAAAGAGCCCCTAGGAAAAATGAAGCACAGTGGTGTAAAACCAGGAAAGAGCCAGAGACAAGCCCTCAGTTCTGTCCTGCCCTCTGGCCCCCAAGAAATGTACCAAAAGAAATAGCCTCCATGGCAATGCCAGCAGCATCTTTGCCATAGCCCTTCTCAAACAGGTGCACCATGGTTCGGCCACCATGGTTCTCTGGAGGATGCAGAGCACTAAGACGCCGTGTGTGGGTACGCAGCTGCTCCACTGCCCCTGCCCGAAATGTGTCACAGGCAGCAATGAGGACACTGAAGTTATTCTCCAACAGCCAGAAGGAGATCTATAAGAGGGAAAGAGGACTTTGTGGGAAGATGGCCCTAGGTTGGGGGCATCTAAGACAGGTGGCAACAGATAATGGCAGCTTAAGGTAGGACAGGAAAGCAAGGGGCAGACAGCAACAGGGGAACAGCCCTTACCTTGGCAAGATTTGTGGACTTGCCTACTCCATTGACCCCACAGAAAGTAACAACATAAGGACGTTGACGGCGTTGAGCATCCATGATATCTCGGAGCATGTCTACACGCCGCTGTGGCTGCAAGATCTGTACCAATGACTCCTGTAATGCCTGCTTTACTGTCGAAGTCACAGCTGGAAGCAGGAGGGGGAAAAGAGTCAGGAACTAAAAGCACTCAAAGAGAGAAAGAACCCTGGAATACTGATGCCACCAGCCCCTGTAATTATTTGGGCAAATAATCCTGTATTGCTCTTCTCTCTCCTATTTTCTAGCAACCCCAAGCTAAATGTATTCCAGTTCCATTCTAGCATATCCTCTATGACAAATGCTAAAGAATGAGAACACTAAGCAGAGGGGCAGCCGACAATGCTTAGGACAGGGTGATACTTACTGCTAAACGTGCCCATCACCTTCCCCTCCAGCTTGTTGGCGACAGACTCACAAAGCTGGAGAGCGATGTCTGCAGCCACATTCTTAGCTGAGGGCACACAGCAAAGCAGGTATATGTAAGAACCGTATCAGCAGAACTCTAAGTTAATGAGCCCTGCTCCCCAGAAATCCCCACCCTCACAAACACAGCCCTTCCCCAGCTCCTTGGGCCTCACCAATTAAGTGGTCTCGCATCTTGTCCAGCACAGATTCCATATCTTCCCGACTTAAGCTCTTAGAGCCAACCAAGCCTTTCAGCATCCCAAACATGCCCCCCAGGGCTCCCTTTGTAGCACTGGAGAGAGAAGAAACTATTAAGTACCCACTAATCCAAAACGCTCTGAAGTGAGGAGCTCCCAACATTTGATCACTTCCACTCATCTTCCTCCAACCTTCTCCATGGCCTGTGTGACCTGCTCCTACCCCAAACCACAACCTACCTGGGTTTGGCTGAGTTCTTCATGATTTCCTCATCATCTGAACTGCTACAGTCCAGATCCTGTAGCTGCCCCCCAGCCTGAGTTCCTCGGATCTAGGGATTGCCAAGGGGAGATAAAGAGAAAAAGACATAATTAGTGACAGCAGGATTAAGATGTTGCCCCAAGATTCCCCAAACCAAGAACCCGGGGTTATAATGACCCCACTGTTCTAGATCAACAGCTCTCAGAGTGTGATCTGGGGTCCCTAAGCCTTTGAAGGGGGTCCACAAGGTCAAAATTATTTTTATGATACTAATTTCTATTACAGCAAATACTGAGAGCCCACATAAACAAAAAGTTTAAGGTCCTCAGAACATTTTAAGAGTGTCCTCGAGACCTAAAAAGAGTGAAAGCCACTGTTCTATACACATTCCTTTATTTTAAAGGTTTCTGAGTATCTACTACTTTCTTACACCCACCAAAAAGAGGACCTAGAAGCCTTGGTTGCTCTTCAGTCATTTCTGACTCTCCGTGATCCCATTTGGGGTTTTCTTCTTTTCCAACTCATTTGACAGATGAAGAAAGTGAGGTTAAAGGGGAGGTGGGGGTGGGAATGACTTGCCCAGGGTCACACAGCTGGTAAGTGTCTGAGCCCAGATTTTAACTCAGGAAGATGAGTCTTCCTGACTCCAGGTCTGGCACTCTGTCCATTGAGCCACCTAGCTGCCCAGAAGCTGTGGCACCTAGTCTCATTCCTCTCCCTACTTTAATCTGCTGGTAATGGAATCCTGCCCTTTATAGTACTTCCTACACTTCCCACACCCACAATCATCATCTTCCTCTTACCAGACTGATGTCCTCTTGTAAGGTGGTCTCAGGGGTTCCATTGGTGGTAGGTGGGCTATAGTCCAAGACTTCTTTGTTGGCACAGCCACCCAGTGCCCACACCCGAGGTGCCTTTTTGCCTTTCTCCTTTGGTGCATCTGACTTTGAGGACTTACTGACAAGGGGGTGGGGTCAGCAGGGAAAATAAATAGTAGATGAAAAAAGGAGTAAGTCTGTGCACTGATCCAGAGAACAGTCCTAAGTCTTCCCTCCCAAGTAAGGATGTAGCTAAACCATGACCACCTGGGGTAGGGAAATAAAGAGTAGAGGGTGAGGTCAGCTCACCTGGACTTCTCAGCACCTCTCCCATGCTTCTGCATGAATTCCTCACGCTTCTTGCGCATCAGCTCTTCTTTGGACAGTTCCACCCCATCCCCAGGGCCAACTGGGAGATCAGGCTTTCCTGTAGGGGCCCCTTTGCTGGCAGGTGAGGAGCTTTCAGCACCTGGAGAGAGAAACTTCATTAAGCTAGGCAGCACAGTATAATGAAGAGACTCCTGTGGGGAGACAGAAAGAACAGAGGTCACATCCTGCCTCTGACACTAGCAGTATGACCACAAGCAACTCAACCTCTATGGGCCTGTTTCCTTCTCTATAAAAAGTGGATGTTGTGAAGCTCAATGAGCATGTAAAGCACTTTATCTTTAAAGGTTTTAAAAACAACTGTGTAAGTGCCAGGAATTACTTTATAAAGCTGTGATTAAGCCCCAGCCAAGTTAAATTTTGGGGGAAAATCTCTCATCGTCACAGGGACAAGACACCTAGGAGAATATTAGTCCTCAGAATCCCTTGAGAGTCACTGGAGCTGCAAAGCAGGAATGAGAAGTAATAATGAGAGCTACCAGGGTAGTTGCTTAAGGGAAAGTCTAAGAAGCACCTGAATTATATGGGTCCCTAAGTTGGTTCTCTCTCAACAGCCCAATACCTCCAGGCACTCATGGATCAAAGCCTCACCCTCTTTCTTAGACCCTTTATTTTTCTTGTTGCTCTTAGCTTTCTCCTTGGGCTTCTCCCCACGTATCTCAATCATGGACCTCACAGTTTTCTTGGCCTTTTCAGAATCTTCAAACTTCTTCATGGCAGTGGGAGCACGGATCTTACTGCTCTCCTCTGCCTCCCTGCAAGTTGATAAAGGAAGACGGTTATTTTTTTTTCTCTCCACACAAAAGAAAACAATGGAAACCCAGGGTCAAGGCTAAGTAATCCAGAATTTCCAGGGCCCCACCTCATATTTAACACAGAGATCTGTGATTTGTCACACAGACTGAAATCTTTCTACATCGTATGTTCAAGGGTTGTTGCAGTAAAAATTTCCTCTTCCAGCCAATTCACATCATACACTGCCCATAAGCCTGCCCCTGGTGTCCTATTCAGTTGTGCCAAGTGGTAGCAAGGAGTGGGGACTCCCTTACCGAAGGAGACGCATGAAATCACTGTGGAAGTCAAAAGTGCCATTTAGTAGACTCATGGCATTATGTTGTTGGATTTCTGTGCGATACTTGTCCCGGAACAGCCGATGCACATCATCTATCAATTTGTCTACGTAAGTTAGCGTTAAGATTTTCTGAAAACCAACCTGTGTCAGGGAAGAGACACACAGAACAAGAGGATGTGTTTATACTCCAGCTTCCAAAGGAGAAAGCCAAATGAATAATGAATTGCCCCTGGAGGTTCACCCAGACATATGGCAGGTTTCCCTGTCTATGCTCTCATAGTCAGGCCAGATTGCTTGACTGGGTCCAGAAGGGCTTCCTCCTCTACCCTTCCTCCCCTACCAACCTAGTCACTTGCTCTACCTATAATACCAAATGAAATCCTCCCAACATAAAGTAAGCTACATTACAAAACTAAGCTACATTACAAAATACAATCTGGTTTTGCCCCCACCCCACTTACCACAAACACCAGCTCGAACTGGTTGTCCAGCTTGTATTTGAGTGTGAGCGCCTCATGGTTAAAGGAGTTGTTGCCTCCCCGCTCCTAGAGAGAAAGAGTCCCAATGATGAGGCTGGACCCAGACACACAAACCCAAAGGAGGAGTTTGGGGTGCAGGGAACCCACAGGAAGAAAATCTGGCAGGGAAAGGTTCTTGTCTCAGTGCTGCCCTCTCGGCATCCTGTCGGTGTCAGCTGGTGGCAGAAGAGATGGAAAGGGGAGGAGAGGAAAGGAGGATGGGAGGCCTCCAGAAGTGATGGGTGGAGACACACGCACCCACACTCGAAGGAAGGATGAACACAACACAACACAACACAACACACACACACGCAAGGACGAAACGCCAGCTGCTCCTGCCTGCCATCCCCGAGGCCGGAGGGAGGCGGGAGAGGTCGGCTGCTCCTGCCTGCCATCCCCGAGGCCGGAGGGAGGCGGGAGAGGTCGGGGTGCGGTGGATCCCTCCCGGGGCGCGGGAAGAGGGGAGATCCGAGGACGTGTGGCGGTTGGCGTTTCCCGGGGAGGAGGCTCGGGGGAGGCATCCTCGAGGGCTGCGGTCTGGGGAAGCAATAGGGGCCCGGGAGCCGGGGCTTGCGGCTGGGGGACGGCACCTGCAGCAGCACGGAACGGATCAGCGCGTTGACGGGCCCGGTGCACGAGTCACTCACGCCCTGGAAGCACCAGAGCACGAGCCCGCCCTTGGAGAAGATGGTGAAGAAGTCGAGCATGGCGGCGGCGGGGCAGGGAGGGGAGGGCAGCGGGCCGCAGCCGGCGGACTCGAGCCACGATCGCCGCCGCTTCCTGCTGCGCCAGACACGGGACACGTCACACCAGAGGCCCCGGAAACCTGACAGCCGCACTTCCGTTTCAGGTCTCTAGGGCTTTTTTTCTGCTCCCTCCCCCTACCCTGTCCCATAAGGCTGGCGTATACGAAAACTGGCCAATGAGTGTGGGGGGCGGAGCCAGAGCTGGTTGGAAGTGGCGTATGACTCTGGCTAATTACGTAAAGGGGAGTGTCCCGGAGTAAGCCGATGAAAATTGGCTGGGGGAGGCGCGGGGCGATGACGCGAAGGTGACGGTACAGGGAGCTGGGTCCTTCGTTCCAGGGTGTTGGGTGCTCAGTTCTAGGGTGCTATGCTTCGCCTGGCGCTGCAGCTGAGGGTCTCCCGTGGATTGCTGAGCCGGGGCCTGCGCACGCGCAGTAGAGGCCCCATCGACGGTAAAGTGGGGAGAATTGGGGTTGGGAGCTGTGAGCTCCTTCCCGGTCCAGGAGTGCTAAGCTGAGAAACCCTGCTTCGCCTTGAACTGTCCCCCTCCCTTCCAGGCAGAGCCCCTAGCCCAGGGCCGGGGAGAAGGGTGGCCACGCTTAGGAACTGCCTTCCCGCGGAGGCTGAAGGGGCGGGGGCCGGGGTGGGGGGAGCCTGGCTGGCGTCATTGTGCCTCAGTTTACCCACCTGAGTGAGGGGACATTCAGCAGGAATTAGGGGAAACTTTCCTAGCAGTTAAGAGGGGTAGTGACCTCACTTCGAGGTCACTCACTTCCCTTCCCCAGATTCTGTGGTTGAACCCCCGAGTATAGAACCCTGCACATTCTTTGTGCCAGGCACTATGCTAAACACTTTACAGTTATTATCTCATTTGACCTTCACAATCCTGGCAGGTACGTGCTATTGTTATCCCCATTTTACAGTGGGAGAAACTGAGGCAGGCAGCGACATGTCCAGGGTAGCACACCTAGTAAGTGTTTGAGACTGGATTTGAACCCCAGTCTTCCTGACTCCAGGCCCACCGTTCTATTTCGCCAGCAGCTTCCCTGTGAGTCAGTGAATGTGGTAAGAGATTGCTGGGACCTGGGAGACTGGGGGAAAGGAAGGGATGAATAAGGCTAGGATCTTAGATTGAGGGTTAGAAGGGACCTTTGAGATTATGTAGGCTAATCCCCTCATTTGATATTTGAAGAAACGGCCCCAGAGAGGGGAAGTAGATTTCCCTACAGCAGGGGCTTCTTAACTTTTTGTGCGTGTCACAGACCCCTCCTGAAGTCTAGTGAAGCCTATGGACCCCATCTCGGAATAATGTTTTCAAATAATTGAAAGAAATGCTAAGTTTCCGTTAGATTTTAGTGAAACTAAAGGCAATATTCTTCCCTTTCCAAGTTCACAGACTCTCTTGAAATCTATCCATGGAACTCTGGACCCTGGATTGAGAACCCGTGCCCTATTAGAAGATAGAAAATAGCAGAATAGGGTTTAAAGCCAGGGCCTCTGACTCCAAGTCCTAAGTCCACCTAGTTGGACACTTAGATTGAAGAGATATTTTAATACCAGGTTGATGAGTTTGGAATTCATCCTTTAGACCTTGGATTCTTTACTTGCTCAAGTGGATCTGAAAGAATCATGGGATGTTTTCAAGAAAAAGACTTCGTCATCTCTTCTAACTCCCTCATTTTACAGATGAGGAAACTGAGGTCCAGAGTAGATTAAGTGACTTGCCCAAGGACCACAGCTAGTACTGGTATTGTTTCAAGGTGATGGACCTGGTATCACTGTTGAGGATTTTTTAGGAGAGTGGTTAGAGGCACTGGGAGCCCACTTGGGAGACTAATTACAATAAAGCAATGAGAGACTCTTGAGAAGTGCAGTTGAGGTGGGAAAGCCAATCCCAAGTCTTAATCAGTCTAGCCTTTTAGTTCTCACTTCCAGAGTGAAAAAGGAAGAAAGTGTAGAATATCTCTCTGTAACCGTAGTCTCTCCCTATAGACAAAGATGGGAAATGGACAGAGTTTAAGAGGAAACTTCAAGTGTTCTGGCCTGGAGGATCCTGGGAGGCATTTAGTGGCACAATCCACTTACCCCCAGAACATGCAGATGTGGTGATCGTGGGGGGTGGTGTGATCGGTTGGTCTGTGGCCTATTGGCTGAAGCGGCTGGAGGCACGGAACAATACCATACGAGTACTGGTGGTGGAACGGGACCCTACGGTGAGTACTGGATGGGCAAAAGGGGGCAGAGAGGTCATATTTTACCCCACTAGGGAGGGAGTTTTAGAGAGAGAGAAAGGTCTTCCTCACTGCTAACTAGGTCAAAATGCAAGAGATATTGTTGTTTGTACCCAGTTGCCTTGGAAGCAGTTATCCTAGGGCTCCTACCCTGAGAGGCAGCTAACAGTAATCCAGGTGTTTTATGAAGATGGCTATCCCCAGTCCCATTTCTAAGAATGAGCTTTCCCAGCTCTGGCCCTCCAACCCCTCAATTCAAGTTGTGGTTACAGCAATCAGATACCACAGCCTCCTGTTTTCTGGAATCTTCCAGGATCTCCTCCCTTCCCTTAGCCAAGTCTTTGCAGATCATCCTATATCAATGCCAATTTGGGCATGTCCCTCCCCTTGCTAAGTCTCTCCAATAGCTCCCATTACCCAGTGTATTTAAATCATGTATTTTTGACTTCATATTAAACATTAGTATCACCAATGTAACTTTCTTTGCAACCATTTACATTTTTAAAAATGAATTCCAGTGCCTACAGTATCATACTAACTTTTCCCATATTCTCTTTAAGTCTCTTAGGAATTCTTTGAAAATTCATTCCAATTCAGTTTTCTTTTTTATTAGATAATAATGTATATTCTTCTTCTGGTTATGCTTTTTCTCTTTACATCATTTCTTAAAGGTTTTTCAAGATTTTTCATCTTTGCCAATGTATTTTTCATTATGGCATTACATTATATTAACATATCACAGTTTAACCACTTCCCTTTTGAGTATTTAAGTTGCTTCTAGTTTTCTGCAGTTTCAAATAATGCTGCTTTAAAAATCTCTGAATAACTTTTTTTTTCTTTTTGCAAATAGTAAGGGTAAAACCCCAATAACAAAAATGAGTAAAGGGGTATGATTATTTTTACAGCTTTGACTGTGTACTATCAGATTGCTTTCCAAAAAGACTACTGGTTTGCAATTCCACCAGGAAAGTATTAAATTTCAAACTTCATCTTGGGCTCCCCATTATTCCTAACCCTCTTTACTCAGATTGACGCTCCTTTTTCTGTATTTCTGCTGATCTGAATTGATTTGTGCATTGATATAAGGTTCCTTATTGATTTGCTTTCACATTTACCCATTTTGAAGGCATGACTCTCCTCCAACTCAAACTGATACCTCTAAGTACAGCAATCTACAAATGTTTATCCCAATGGCTGATTGAACTCAATCCCGTCTTGTGTCTTGCAGTACTCTAGGGCCTCCACTGTGCTTTCCATAGGAGGCATTCGGCAGCAGTTCTCAGTCCCTCAGAGTGTCCAGCTATCTCTCTTCTCCATTGAATTCCTCCGTAACATCAATGTATGTGAGGGCTTGGGGAAGAGATGGGGAAGTAATTGAGCTATTAGCCCAGAATGAGAAGGGGCCTAGCCAGCTGAGGAAAGCAAGGTTTATATTTAGAGTCAGGAGACCTGATTCTTTCTTCCCAATAATGGTGACTGGGAGGCTTCTAGGTTTGGAAATTTCCAGGGTTACTGATGGGAAGCCACCCAGTCCTTCTGAGGACCTCCCTGTCATTGCAGTTAGTGGGTCTACCATGGAGCATAATGGCTGTCACCCCACCCATGTTCTCTACATCCCACAGGAATACCTAGCTGTAGCTGGTGAGCCTCCCCTAGATATCCAGTTCTGTCCCTCAGGCTACCTTATGCTGGCTTCAGAAGAAAATGCCTCAGAGATGGAACGCAACGTAAAAATGCAGAGGTTGGTGCCTGGCAGAGACTGTGATCAGCACCTTCCAGATATCTCTCTATGCCCTACATCCAGCTCTGTTTTCACTTCTTTGCAAGTCATTTAAGATGGAAGTCTGAGGCCTCCCTATCCCTACTCTGCTTCCTACTGAGAGTGTCACAAAGGTGGAGCTAGTCCCATCTCTCATGAAAAGAAAACAGACATTTTTCTCGTTCTGGTCCTCCATCTAACATTCTTCTCTACCTCTCCTTTTTTTTCCTAAGCTCTCCTTCCTTTTTTCTCAGGCAAACAGGAGCCAAAGTTTGTCTGCTGTCCCCCGAACAACTTAAAAACAAATTTCCCTGGATCAACACAGAGGATGTAGCCTTGGCATCTTATGGTGAGACTTCCCAAGGGAAGAAAGAAGGCTCCATCCTTTTCTAAAGGATTTGAGTGAGAGCCCCGGGGCAGTAGTCTATATATAGTCAATCTGTACTTCATCTGGCTTTGACTTTTGTCCACTTGGATAGGTAAAGCCATTTCCTTCTCACTGTCTTCTCTGCTCAGGGCTGGAGAATGAGGGCTGGTTTGATCCATGGTGCCTGCTTCAGGGACTGCGCCGAAAGGCTCTGTCTATGGGGGTCTGTCACAGCCATGGGGAGGTTATTGGTGAGTCTCATACTTTGCCCTTGTACTTTTCACCAACCAAGTCCTGAATGGAGGTTTTCATTTTTATCTGTAGGCTAAGCAAGGTAGGCCATGGTCCTAGGTGCCCTCCCTCTTGCTCTCCCAGTGACTAGGCTCTTCTATAGCCTGGGTTCTCTTTGAGGATCTCAGTCCTCTTCAGGTTGTCTTTAGTCCCATTCTTCCTAATTACATGAGCTCAGCCTTCCCCGACACCTATGAGAAGGCCTGACCTTCACCCTACTTCTGGACTGCCCCGCCATGTGGGGCAGGCCTGGGCTCCCCTTCAGCTTCCTTCCCTGGGACACAAGAGGCCATTTTCTCTCTCTTCTCCAGAGTTAGTCTCTTCAGTAAGACCCATGGTGACTTCCAGAGGGGAACAAGTAAACATTAAAAGAATTAATGAGGTCCATGTAAGTAAATACTCAAAGCAGTGAACAGTGATTATCTTTATTTTAACCTTCCCTTCTCACATCCATCTCATTTTCTTGCCTGCTTCTAAAGAAACTAATTTTTTGCTCACTGGCCATGATGCAAAAGTTGTCAAGGACTCAGAAGGGAATGAATCTTTTGTGGTGCTGGGTGCCAGACAAAAACTGCCTCCTTCCCTATCTAGACCTTCTCTCCTCCCCCTGATGCCCACAGGTGAAGATGAACAGCAGCCTGGAATACCAACCTGTGGGGTGTGCTGTAGTGATCAACGCTGCTGGGGCCTGGTCTGGGAAATTAGCAGAGCTGGCTGGAATTGGCATTGGGCCCCCAGGCACTTTGCAAGGCACCAGGCTTCCCGTGGAGCCAAGAAAAAGGTGATAGGGTTCTGGGTAGGTGTTGGAGGAAGGGGGCCAAAGGTTGGGAGTTGGAGGAGGGAGAGCAGATCTCCCCTGACTCTGCTCTCCCTGGAATATGGCAGGTATGTGTATGTTTGGCATTGCCCACAGGGGCCTGGCTTGGAGGCCCCATTAGTTACAGACATCAGTGGAGTCTATTTCAGACGAGAAGGACTAGGTGGTTACTACTTAGGTGGCTGTAGTCCCACGGAGGTAAGCTGGGGGTTCCAAATGAAACCTTTGGGTAGCAAGGGGAAGAGTTTAGATAATAAACTTGTGTGGTTATCAGTTAACCAATTACTTAGGGACTTTTCTGCGGTGTGCCCAGCAGAGTTGGTACTACAGTCTCCTCGAAGTTTGATATGAAGGAAAGGAGAGCTGGCTGTCTCCAAAAAGGGACTAAGAAAGGGAATCAGTTCCACCTGCTAACCCTAAAATGTGACCTGTGGGGCAAAAGGGATCCCACCTCCTTTCCCCACACCCTGCTTTTACCTTAGGAAGATGAACCAGAGACTGAAGATCTAGAAGTAGATCATGACTTCTTTCAGGAAAAGTTGTGGCCCCATCTGGCCCATAGGGTTCCAGCTTTTAATTCCCTGAAGGTAATTAACTGGGAGAATTCTTTGTTAGGGGATAAGGGGAAATAGCATTGGGGGAATTCTAGTACCAGTGGAAGCTCTCTAACCCTACTTCTGTCACTGGGAAGTCTGTTAAGGTGGTCCTAAGAATACCCTTGGTCATTTATCCTATCTGGGAACTGGGACTAATGGGGTAGAGAGGTGGGTTAATGTTTGCCAAGTATAGGGGTACAGAATGTTAAAATACTTTCCATGACTCCATACAGGTACAGAGCGCCTGGGCTGGCTACTATGATTACAACACATTTGACCAGAATGGCATAGTGGGCCCTCATCCACTGGTCCCCAACATGTACTTTGCCACAGGCTTTAGTGGCCATGGGCTACAACATGCCCCTGGTGTGGGACGTGCTGTGGCAGAAATACTGCTGAATGGAGAGTTCAGCACTATTGACCTGAACGTGTTCTCCTTCAGCCGTTTCTACCAGGTGGAAAAGGTCCAGGAAAACATCATCATCTAAGCTTGTAAGCATCACTTTGCCAACCAGGCCCCATCCCTCACTCATATCTGCAGTCCCTTCCTGTAACCACAGCCCCCTTCCTATCTTGTGCCATCATGGCCATGCTACAGACTCCTTTTCCCAGGTAGGAATAAGTTTGGATTTAGCTAGACCTTACCTAAGTGTCCATATCTTCCCTCTTTCTTTAGGTCTGTCTACCCCTTTGTCTATGAGGAATAAGCTACCGAGAGCAACCTTCTCAGAAAGTCAAGGACCTCTGTGATACCCAAGCCCCCGGCACTGCTGCCTCTAAGCCATACTACCCAAGCACTGGGTAGACACAGACAATTGAGGCTGGTTCCCAGGATTGCTTCCTAATCATAGTTGGAGCTCACTCACAACGGGAAACCATACTGGTCACAGTACATCAAAGAGTGCTGAAGTGCCAGCTCTTCACTTGGCACCTGTGCAAGACGCTTCTTAACTACTCAGCAGTCAAGGTCTGGGCACTCTGGGACAGCCTGAACCCAAGCCTACTGACTTATTTCTTTACCCTGTTCATCAGTCAATAAATCCATTTAACTCCTTCCACCCTGACACACTGTACCCTCTTCTTTAAAGCCAAGGGTAGGTGCCTTTGATAACCACTAACCGTACGTGACTTTTCAGGACCTGGAGAACTGAGCTGCTCCTCAGGAGCATTCCTGTGTCATAGGTCCTGATTCCTGATCCAGTCATCACTTCTATGGCTGCCAGCCAGGAACCCACAATCTTTAGTAAACAGGCTAAGGTTAGAGCATGCTGTTGTTGTCATTTGTCCTTCATTCTCAAAGAGGACCATGACGTCAGGGAGGTGATGCCATGAGATGCAAGTGAATTGGATTTGAGTGAGGGAGGGCTGTGCAAAGTCACCAGCCTCACCTTCTCTGGAGCCATCTGGGTCCAGTGGCCAGATACGGATCAGGACGACAAGACAGCCCTCAGGTAGCAGACAGGGAGGAACTGGAGAGCAAGAATGGGTTAAATTTACCACCAACATTAACCACTGACCACAGCCTAATACAGGTGAATTACTGTGGGGAAAAAGCCATAATTGTAAAGCCCAATTTTCATCTAATACTTGTTAAGTTTTTGTCCAGTAAAAGTTGTCATATAGTAAACAGGAGAAACTGTGTGCAGTTTTTAAAATGCCTGAATTAGGAGGCCAGAGGACTTTAATGGACCACTCCACTGGTTGGCTTCATTCAGCCTTCCCCTCAGAAGTAGCTCCAGGAGTCTCAGAGGGTGGCATTGTGGTGTGTGGAAAAGGAACAGAATTTGAAATCGGAGGACCTGGATTCAAAGCTCTGCTTTTTACTAGTTGTATCACCTTAGCCAAGACACTTAATCTTTTGTGGTCTGTTTCCTCACCTGACAGGCAGTGTGTGGTGGAAAGAGAACTGGACTCGAAGCCAGGAAGAACCTGGCCCTGACATTAGTTGTGTGATGTTGGGAGGAGAAAGGAAAAGGATAAAGCATTTATACAGTACCTACTTTGTGCACTGTACAAATATTATGTGTACTTTATAAATATTATCTCATTTGATCTTCCCAACAATTTGGTCAAGCTATTATCATCTCCAGTTCACAGTTGAGGAAACTGAGGCAGAAAGATTAAAAATATCTTGCCCGGAGACACAACCCTAGTATGTGTTCGCAGGCTGGCTTAGAACTCAGGTTTTCCTGGCTCCAGCCCAGCACTCCATTCACTGCGCCACTAGCTGACTCTGGGCAAATTATATAACTTCTCGGAACCTCCACTTCTTTATCACCCAGGATACCTACTATAGCATGGCTGTAGAGAAAACCCTTTGCAAACAAACCTTGTTGGTCAGAATTCCAGAAAAGCCATAACTTTCATTCAATAAGTATTTAATTAAGTGCTTATTACTTAGCAGAGGGCAGCTAGGTGGCAAATAGATAGAGTGTGGGGCCTGGAGGCAGTAACACTCATCTTGAGTAATTCAAATCTAGCCTCAGACAGTTTAGCTGTGTAACCCTGGGCAAGTCAATTCACTCTGCCTCCCATCCCTCATCTGTAAAATGACCTGGAGGAGGAAATGGCAAACCACTCCAGTACCTTTGCCAAGAAAACCCCAAACAGAGTCATAGAGTTAAATGAACAGAACTAGGAGAACAATTTATACAGTAACAACAACATTGTGATGGCAAATTACATAGAAAGACTTAAGCTCTAGTCAACATAGTGACCAACCACAATCCCAGAGTAGTTAGGCTACCAGAGAGGTGTGGACCTAGGGTGCAGATTGAGGCATACATATTTTAGGATATGACCAATACAAAAATTCATTTTGCTTGACTATGTATATTTGTTACAAGGTGTTTTTTCTTCCTCGATGTAGTGGGAGAAGGAGAAGGAACAGAAGATAGATTTTCATTAGCTGAAAAGAAATTAATTTTTTAAAATGCCACAGAAAGGTCAAAAATAAGAACTACGAGAAGGCCCCTGGATCTGGCAAACAATAAATCACTGTAAACTTGGAGAGTAGTTTCAGTCGAATGAGGAGGGCAGAAGCCAGATTGTAAGGAGTTAAGAAGCAAAGTGGGAGCAAAGAGCATAGCTCATTTTCGAGGAGTTTGGATGAGAAATAAAGGATGGCAAAATTAAGTGAAGGCTTTTCAAGGATGAGAGATCTCTACATCTGTGAGCAATGGAGAAGGAGCCAACGTACAAAGAGAAGTGGGAAATTAGACACAAGTGATAAACTAATGATTAGTCTCCAAGAAGGTGTGGAATCATGCACATTGGCAAGAAGCAGGGACACCTCTTCCCCTGAGAATGGAGGACAGGGTCAGGAGTAATGTTGAGGTGACTAGCAATGTAGAGTTGAGAAGAGGCCTTCGTTTTTTTCAGTAAAGTGTTTGGTGAAGTTCTCTGCTAAGAAGCAGGGAATAGAGAAGTAGGGCAGCAAAAGTCAAGGAAGACCAAAGGGATGGCTGAGTGGTAGAGACTACATAACTAACATGGGTAGGGAATGCACTGAATTACTCTTTTCCCTGTCCTTACACACAGTATTTCAACTGAGTGGAATGTCTTTCTCCCTCCATATGAATAAGAGTGAACTTGGCAGCTGAGTTCAAGTGTGGGTTTCCAGGCCAAAGAATATGGAATTGGAACAACGTGGTTATGCCCCACCAACAACTCCCTTCCCAGCTATCTCTGCCCTTAGTTTGCTCTCAGCCCCTACTATGCTTAGCTTCCCATTGCTCTACCTTGACAAGTGTCTCTGAGGGCTTACTCAATAGCAGAGACAGCCCCTGCTCTGCCCTCCCTAATGAGCATTGGAGTTCATTGCAAAATCATATGTTAAGCATCTAATTTGTGCTAGGTACTGAGGGTGATAGAAAGTCAAAGAATACACAATTCTTGTCCTCATCTCCACAATGGAAAAAATAAAACGTACACCAATAAGCCTAACACAAATGAGAATATGACAAATGCATGAGAATTACAAATAAAATGCTTCAGGAAAGAGAATGATAATACTACCAAAGGGAATCTAGGAAGGCTTCACAGAAAAGGCAGAGACAATGCTCAGAGGCTAAATGGGATGTCAGTGGGTAGAGATGGAGGAATGCAGGACTGAGCAAATGATGATGGAAGTGCAGGTCGTGTTCAGAAAACGATAAATTCAATGAAGAATAGCTTCAGAGAAGCTAGAAAGGTTGGAGTCAGATCTTAAAGGCTTTGAAAACTAGGCTAAAGAGTCTGGACTTTACTCTGGAGGTAATTGGGATCCATTAACGTTTGTGAACAGTGATGGAACCTGAGCTGTATATGAGGAAGAAGAATCTGCTGGCAGGTGTGTGCCACAAATTGGAAGAAGGAAGGTACTTGAGAGAGGAGGGCTTACTAGGCGGATATCGCAGGAGTTCAGTTCACAGTGAAATGAGTGCCTGAACTTGAGTGATCTCAGCAGAAATGGTAAGAAGGGGATTGGTGGAAGAGAGATTATAAAACTTGAATTGAAACTTGACTTCGGAATACATGATCAAGGAGGGATCAAAGTTGACTTTACAATTAGAATGACTAGATAGAGAAATAGGGAGGTCAAGAAGATGGATAGGTTTAGGGGAGAAATTAGTTTGAGATGGTATGGGTTACTGGTGAGACAGGTAGAAAGATCCAGTAAACTTCTGGAAATGCTCCTCTGGATTTCCTGAAAGAGGTGAAAGTTAGAGGTGTATTTGGAAGCCATCTGCAAAAAGGTGATATTTGAAACTGAAGGAATAGAAAAGGTCTCCAAGGAAGACAGAAGAAAAGAGGGGCAAGGAGAGAACTCTGATAATGTCTATGTTAAGAAATTGTAAGATTTAAAACCGAAAAGGACCTTAGAGGTCATCTTGCCCAACTCTCTCATTTTACAGATTAGGAAACTGAAACCTTAAGAGGTTGAATGACTTGTTTAAAGTCACATAGCTAAGTGACAAAGTCAAGATTTGCACCCCTCTTCTAACTCTAAACCCAGTATTCTTTCCAGTACCGCAGGGGGAAAAAAGGGGGGGGGACAGAAAGGAAGTTAGGGAGATAAGTGGAGAACCTAGAGAGTGGTGTCATCACAAAAACCAAGAAAGTAGCTAGAAAAGAATCAACATTGTTGATGCTGCAGAAAGGGCAAAGAGGATGAAGACTGAGAAAATGCCATTGGGTTTGATAATCAAGGTGGCAGGTGTCTAACTCAGCTGACAGAAGCTGACCTAGGCTCCCTTCCCTGGCCAATGAATTGCCTGGGGCTTAACAAACTTTGTCCCTTCCGGCCTCTGATTATTTTATAAATCTCCCAAACTCTCCCCTTCCGAGATTCCCAAGCTTTCTCTGCAGACTTTTGCTTGTTAAGCAAAACAACTTACTATGAGAAACTGAGATGCCCCTAACCTCTCTCATCTGCAACCTGCCCAATCCCTCTACCTAAATCTCTCCCACTTGCAGCTTGGCCATTCCTATTGCCTTAGTACCTGTATAAACCCTGCTTCCAGCCCCCCTCTTTGGGTATCCCAGCACTTGCTGTGTGGCACCTGGAGCTACACCTCACTTGCCCCGATGAAACACCTCTATTTTGCTATGTTGGCTATTTTCTCTTGAATTCGGGTTGACATAAGTCACCTTGGAGGGAAGTTTCAGTAGAATGAAGCAAGGTTACAATAGGTTGAGAAATGGGGGAGTGGGGGAGGGGAAGTGACGTAGGAATCGAGACAACTAAAATAAGATTTCTCATGCCAGAAATGTTGTGATGAAAAGAGTGAAAAATGTGAGACTGTTGCTTGAGGAGAGAGACAAATAGAGCAAAGGGGAGGGATTTTGTTTGTTTGGGGTAAGGGAGAGCTGTGTAGGCAGAGGGGAATAGAGTAGGAAAGATTGAAAATTAAAAATAAAAGGAATGATGAATAGAATGAGGTACTGGAAGATGAAGAAGAGATGAAAGTAAGAGCACAGGTTAGTTTTAGTAGGGAGGAGATTGAAAATTAAAAATAAAAGGAATGATGAATAGAATGAGGTACTGGAAGATGAAGAAGAGATGAAAGTAAGAGCACAGGTTAGTTTTAGTAGGGAGGAGATTCACCTCTTTAAATGAGAGAAGAGAGAAGACATAGTAAAGAGGTTACAATACAGATATTTTAAGGTGGAGAAAGGTTGTTGAGGAAACTCACCACTAGATAATGTCAATCTTCTCTGTAAATCAGGAAGCACAGTCACTGGCTGAAAATTTGGAATGTGGAGGCAAGGTTTGGTAGATTGGAGGAGAGAAGTTTGGAACAGCCTGTGTGGAGAATGAGGGAGGTGATTAAAAAAAAAGACTACTTCACAAAGGATCCAGCTGAGTTTATGAATATAAACTTATAATGGATGAAATAAACAAGGCTGTACTACTTTCTCCATCAGGACTAGGCACCTCCAGAGTGGAAATGGTTAAAGCACAGAGTAGGCCCTACTAAGGGGATAAACAAGGTAGAGGTGATGGAAGGACAAAGTATCCTAAGGTGGTAGGAAGAGCATCCCTGAAATGCCTGATCACGGCATGGATGCAGGCTGAGTAGAGATGTAGATTCCACAGCAGGGACAATAGGAACTGAGGCAGCATAATATAATGGCTATTGGAGACTGGTCTTGGAATTATAATTCTACTGCTGACACTTGCAGGGTATATGCACTGATAGAATTGTTATGGGCTGTCCATGTTTGGGAAGTGACTGAAATCCTGTGATGGAAATAACTAGAGTCAAGGAAATTGAGGAACCATGTAAAGTCCCCAACAATAGGAGTTGGGGATGGAAAAAGAAAAGTGTGAGATAGGTGCTAAAATAACTGAAGGAGGATTTCCTGGAGGTTGGTAGATGACTTCAACATGGATGAGAAGGGGTAGTTTAACCTGATGGCATAGATTTCAAAGGATGAGAGGTTGTTGGGTAATGGTTGCAAAAGGTCTAGAAGTAAGAGGAGGAGGGGTGAAGGTATCCCATGCTGACTGACATCCTGAAAGGTGGAGGGGAGATAGCCATCCCAGATCTTAAATTGTATTATAAAGCAGCAATCATCAAAACTGCTTGGTACTGGCTAAGAAATAGAATGGTGGATCAGTGGAATAGGTTAAATATGCAAGACACAGTGGTCAATGATTATAGTAATCTATGATTTGATAAACCCAAAGACCCCAGCTTCTGGGATAAGAACCCACTCTTTGAAAAAAAAACTGCTGAAAAAACTGGAAAAGAGTATGGCAGAAACTAGGCATAGACCAAAATCTCATACCATATACCAAAATAAAGTCAAAATGGGTTCATGATTTAGATATATAAGCTGATACTACAAGCAAACTGGGAGAGCAAGGAATAGTTTACCTATCAGATCTATAGAGAACAGAAGAATTCAGGAGATAGAGAACATTACAAAAAGCAAAATGGATAACTCTGATTACATTAAATTGAAAAGTTTTTGCACAAACAAAGCCAATGCAACCAAAATTAGAAGGAAGGTAGAAAATTAGGAAAAAAAATTTACAACCAGTATCTCTGATAAGGGCCTCATTTCTAAAATATATAGAGAATTAAGTCAAATTTATAAGAATACAAGTCCCCAATTGATAAATGGTCAAAGTATATGAACAGGTAGTTCTCAGACGAAGAAATTAAAGCCATCTATAGTCATATGACAAAATGCTCTAAATCACTATTGATTAGAGAAATGCAAATCAAAACAACTCTGAGGTACCACATCACACCTATCAGATTGGCCAACATGACAAAACAGGATAATGATAAATGTTGGAGAAGATGTGGGAAAATTGGAACAGTAATGCATTGTTGGTTTTGCCGTCTTGGGGAGGAAGGTGAGGAGGGAGGGAGAGAAAAACTTAAAACTCAAAAGCTTATGGAAGTGATTGTTGATAAATCAAAATAAATTAATAAAAAATATAATTTTTAAAAAATTGAAAATCAAAGGGATGCCTATCAATTGGGGAATGGATAAACAAGCTGTGGCATATGATTGTGATGGAATATTATTGTGCCCTAAGAAATGACAAGGGGGCAGCTAGGTGGCACAGTGGATAGAGCACCGGCCCTGAAGTCAGGAGGATCTGAGTTCAAATCCAGCCCCAGACCAAACACTTGACACTTACTAGCTGTGTGACCCTGGGCAAGTCATTTAACCCCAATTGCCTAAAAGAGAAAAGAAAAAAAATGACAAACAGGATGATTTCAGAAAAGCCTGGAAAGACTCACATGAACTGATGCATAGTGAAGTGAGGAGAATCAGAAGAACGTTGTACACAGTAACAGCAATATTGTACAATGAAGAATTATGAATGACCTAGCTATTCTCAGCGATCCAATGATCCAAGACAATGCCAAAGGACTAATGATGAAGCATACTATCTGCCTCCAGAGAAAGAATTCATATTGATTGAATACAGATTGAAGAATGTTATTATTCACTTTCTTTCATTTTTTCTTTTAATCGAGTCTTCTTGTACAAAATGACTAATATGGAAATGTTTTACATAATTGCACATGTATAATCTATAGTCGATTGCTTATCTCAGGGATAGAGGAGGGAGGGATAAAATTTGGAACTCAAAACTTTAAAAATGTTAAAAACTGGAAAATAAATAATTGAAGGAAATTCTGAATTTCAGTTGGAAATTAAAAAAAAAAGTTTGAGGGTTTAAGCTTTGCCGAGAAGGACTCGGCAGTGCAAGAACTCCTTTACTTCCGTCTGGAACTATTTCTGCCTGAAACCACCTTCCTCTGACCACTCACTTCCTTTCTGAGCCAAAGGCGGGGCGAGAAACTACCAAAGTTTTGAGCCTAAGTGGGTGCTCTTCCCCTCCCTGGTGAGTCTTTGGGTTGGGGGAAGAGAAGTGGTGGTGGGGGCTGGGGTGGGGAATACCATGTTATCACCTAAGGAAGGACTTAGGAGGTTGCAGCTAAGCAGCCTTCAAACTTCTAAAATGGAGATGAAAGAAAGCTTTCAGACTCACCAGGGCAGGGCAGAACGGGAGTGAAGGCGTTCCCTGGGAGGCGTACAGAGCTGTAGCACTGAGTCAGAAACGGGAAGCCTGAGCTCCAGCTGTGCTTTTGTCCAGAAAGGACCCTTTCTGCCACCACCCCCCCTCCCCCGTTTGTCTCCTCTGCTGCGTCTCTGCTTTGGTGTCCTGTCCCCATTTCACACAGGCTCCTTTTCCCCATTCTATCTTCTTCCTCTTCCCTCTCTTTTCAACCACTCTCTTGCACCTTTAAAAAAAAAGTGCAATCTGATTTCCGTCTTGAGAAGGATGTCATTCTTCCACTGGGGGGGGGGGGAGCTCAAACGGCCGCGTCTCTCCCTTAGCCCTGTATTGATCTTTCTGTGTGTCACTGTGTTCCTATCTCACTATCTCCCTCTAGGGCTCTCTACCCGTCTCATGTCAACCTCCACATGTGTCCGTCGACACAGGAAAAGCCACATGACTGAAGGTAAGATGCCCCTAATCTATTCTCTGCCTCTTGAAATTACTTTGTATTATATTGTATATATTTTGTATTTGCTTAGCTTGTGCATTTTATATCCTATCAGTGGAATACAAGCTCCTTGAAAGCAACAAACCCAGTGCTTTATACCTAGTAGGTATTTAATAAGTATTTGTTGAACTGAATCTCTCTAGCTTTTAGAATCACTTATTCCTTTCAAAGTATAACCTTCTACATGTGACCTTTGCTGATCATCACCGGGACTACCAGTGCCTCCCCCTGAAAATTACCCAGTATTTATTTTGTATACACAGATATGTACATGTTGTCTCACCTAATAGAATGTAAGCTTTTTGAAGACAAGGGCTGTATCTTTTTTTGTCTTTGTATACCTAGAACCTAGCACATAATAGGCTCTTTAAAAATATCTATTGATCGATTTACCCATCTGCACAGCCATCTCCTAGTTCTGTTTCAGCATCCATGCTTAATGGGCTTAAATAGTCCAGGTTTCCTCACTACCGTGGTTCTAGGACGAGTGGCCATCATGACCAACTAGGCATGCTTAGTTTGTTATCCCCTGGATCTTGAAAACTCACAGCCTTTGCTACATTGATGCAGCTTTAATGAAAAACAAATTCTAGTAACTGTGGACCAGTCCAATGGAGAAATCAAGAGACAGAACCCATATGGGCCATTAGGACAGAAAGGGGACCTTCAGGAGCCCACTCACCCTCTGAGGCCAAGGACTGTCCTATTTTGACATGATGATATCTGTGACTATCCCTCACAGGATGGCTATTCCATGATACCTGACCTAGACTGAGGCTTCTCCTGTCCCACCAGTGTTCTGCCTCCCACAGATCAGTTGCAAGCCCAAGTCAAGTGGCATCACCTTCATTTCCTTGTTCCTGAATTAGGGGGCCAGGACGGGATGGCAGGTGAGTAGAATTAAACTGCTTTAGGATTTGACTCCTATTTCAAAGAAAGGGCTGGGTACATGCGAATTCCTTATTATCCAGATATAGACCTTATATCTGAGGGGAGGAGAGGAAGGGGAAAGGGCGGGGAAGGCTCCTGGGTAGAAATCCCAGGGAAATTGGGAAGGGAGAGGCCAATGACCCAGCTTGGCTTAAAACTCCAGCCTAGGAGTCAGAAAGATCTGCATTCTATTTCTGACTTTGCAAATAATTTGTTCTGTGACCTTTTGGACCTCGTTTCCCCATTTGTAAAGTAAAGGGTTGGGATTAGATGATCTCTAGCCTTACAACCTCCTCCAAGTTTAAATTCTATAATAAAGTCTTTATACCTCCAAGAAAGAAAAAAAAAAGGGTTGCTTAGGTATTGTCCAGCCAGTTTCTTCTCTAGGATTTTTCCTGATTCTAGATGACCTTCTTGATTGAGAGGTGCCTCAGTTGCTTGCCTAGGGCATGGAGACCTGTCTGCTTCCATTTCAGTGCTTGCCCTGGCTATCTTGTTCCCCACTGAGAAAAGAGCATCCAGCTCAAGGAAGCACCAGATTCCAAAAGTTCCAAACCCTTCTGGCCCTAGAAAGAGCCACACACTGGTTTTCTGGGTGGGGAAAAAAAAGTCCTGGTGGGCTGTGTCTCTTTAAACCTCAGGAGCTTTGCCGCTGCTTTGTCCCATTCCTGTTTCTTCCTTTCCCAGTGATGACCCAAGCTTTACTGGGACCATACCAGTGCTAGCTCTGTCCTTCCCTTTTTCTGTCTTTTCACTATAAATTCTACCTCCCTCACTGTCAAGATTACCTTCATTCATTTCCCTTGGCTCTGCTCTCTCACTCCCGCAGGCTGGTTTCGACAGATCCTGCATAAGCCCAAGAAACGTCATGTGCGGCCACACACCAACACCAGGGATGGCCTAGAGCTACCCTCCCAAAGCAGTTCTCTGCCTGAGACTGAGGAATCTACCAAGGTTCCCACCCCAAACCCAGCAGACACAGAGAGCACAAGCAGCGGCTCTCGGTGGTGCAAAACTTATGACGTGTGCGTGTGTCACAGTGAGCAAGACCTGATGCCTGTCCAGGAATTGGTTTCCTATCTGGAGGGCGAGCCCAATGGACTTCGATGCTTCCTGCAGCTTCGGGACGCAGCCCCGGGTGGTGCCATCGTGTCAGAACTGTGCCAGGCAATGGGCAACAGCCACTGCTGTGTACTATTTATCACCCCGAATTTCCTTCAGGACCCCTGGTGCAAGTACCAAATGTTACAGGCACTAAGTGAGGCCCCCGGGTCCGAGGGCCACACCATACCTCTGCTGTTCGGCCTGGCCCGAAGCGATTACCCCCCTGAGCTCCGATTCATGTTCTACGTGGATGGCAATGGCCTTGACAATGGATTTGGAAAGGTCAAGAACACAGTCTGGCGTTGTAAGCAGTGTGATGGTGGGGGAGGTGGGACTCAAAAGACCTTGATCCACCTGAAAAGTTACTTTGGTTTCTTTTAGATAGGGATGGAAACCTCTCTTTGGGAAGGGGCCAGGGAGGGACCCCAAGGGTGAAGGACACTGGTCTGCAAGGGAGAAAAGGTACAGAAGGGAAGGGGAGGAATATGATATTACCATGAGTTTGGGAATAGGTTTGGGAATAGAGAAAGAAAGCAAGTGACCAGTTTGGAGAGAGGAACTTCATTTGTAAGGAAACTGAGTCCCATGACTCTGCTCGGTCTTTTCCAGATCTGCAAAAATTTAGCTGAGATGTATACCCCAACTTATCACCATGGAGCCCAGGATGTTGGAGCAAGACTGGACTTGGAGCTAGAGGGGCCACTGAGGGTCTCCAGAAAGCTCTGGTGGAGAACAGACAGGTGCTATGAGGATTCATGGCCTCAACAACATTTCTGTTCTGCCTCTGAGAGAGCCTATAGCTGGCTTCTCCAGGACTTGGGATTTCCCTTCCCAAGAACTCAACTCTGGCCATGGGAAAATTCAGGATCCAAGACATTCAGGTTGCTGCTAATGTCACTCCCTCAGACCATTTCTTAGGCAGGATGAATGTGTTATTTTGGTTTCTGTCCAAAAGGAAGTCTTGCCTCCATAATTCTGCATGAAGCCTATCACATGCCTGTGTGTTCTTCCCCCTCAAGCATGGGCATATTTGTGTAACTCTGTGTCCCTGCCCAGGGAGAGAGCTACTGATCTACTCCATCTGGCAAGGCTACAGAACATACTAAAAGCCTCTATTAGACTAAAGAATTTCGGCTCAACGGGAGGAAATATAACTGGTGCCAGTTCCTCCCCGTTTGTGGCTCTCCTATTTCCCCTACCTTCTCCAACCCATCTTTATAAAGCTCTTTAAACGAAATGTCTGGGGCAGCTAGGTGGCGCAGTGGAGAGAGCACCAGCCCTGAGATTAAGAGGATCAGAGTTCAGATCTGGCCTCAGACCAAACACTTGACACTTACTAGCTGTGTGACCCTGGGCAAGTCACTTAACCCCAGTTACCTTAATAATAATAATAATAATAATAATAATAATAAATAAATGGAAGAGTCCTATGCAACATTTTTTAATGAGATATATGTCAGGACTTTGGAATTATAAAGTCAGTTGGTCAATAAGCATTTATTAAGCACTTCGTGTAAGGCATTATGCTAAGCACTGGGGATACAAAGAGAGGCAGAAGACACTTCCAGTCCTCGAGGAGCTCACAATCTAATGGGAAGAAATTATATAGATATTATTTAAAGAAATTAAAGCGCTAAACAAAAAAATCATTTTGAGTGAAAAAAGGGAAGGGACAGGGTTGTGAGTAAGGAGGGGGATGGAGAAGTGGGATATATAGAGAGAAATTTCTAGGGCCTCCGTACCTAGAATTACAACCAATTTGATCATCCATACTCAGGATCCCTAGGTAATTTTAATGGGGCACTAGCAAATCTTACAGTGATTAATGACTTCCAACCTAGGAGATGCAGTCTGTTGTAAGGGGCATTGTCATTTTTTAAAAACTTTATTTAGCTCTAATAAGAAGGTACTGGAAAGTTTTTTACATTAAAAAAAAGTTTCCTATATTTGAAAAGATGGGAAGCCTCTGGCTTAGAGAGAAAGGAATTTGACTTTCAGTCTCAGACTGTGGAGTTGAAAGAACTATCACTTTTCACAGAATTTAAGCTACTTCCCATTACACCCACCACCCTAGCCTCTTCCCATTTTTGCCCTGATTCCTTGCCTGATTCCTCCTCCTTTCCCCTACCATTATTCCAGGTTAATCTTTACACCGAAGGGATTTGAGTGGAATAAGTTTATAGACAGTTGTTGAGGGGCAGCTAGGTGGTGCAGTGGATAGAGCACCAGCCCTGGAGTCAGGAGGACCTGAGTTCAAATCTGGCCTCAGATATTTGACACTAGCTTTGTGACCCTGGGCAAGTCACTTAACCCCACTGCCTAGCTAAAAAAAAAGAAAGAAAAAACAGCCAGCGATCTGTATAAGAGGAGGTAGTTTCTATAACCAGAAGTTCCCCACCCTGATGAAATCATAGGTCTGGACCCACTAAAAATGTCCTAGCTCTTGTTCAGGGATTAATAAATACTTGTTGAACTGATCTGAATGACTCTCAAGACTTTTATAGGTACAATAACAAAATGTTCTTTGAAGAAATAATGAGTTAAATACTTAGAGAAATATTCATTGTTCTTGGATGAGTCACACCAATATAATAAAAATGATGATACTACCTAAACTAACTTACAATGTTATACTAATTAGACTACAAAGGGAATACTTTGTAGAGCTAGATAAAATGGTAACAATTCATTTGGAAGAACAAAAGGACTGGAATTTCAAGGGAAATAATGAAAAAAGGAATAAAAAGGAAACAGCTCTCAAATGTTTCAAATAGTATTACAAAGCAGTCCTCATCAAAACTATTTGGTACTATTTTTAAAAATAGAAAAAATGGATTACAGAACAGACCAGTCATAAACAAATGAACTTAACAGCACAGTGTTTGATAAGCCTGAGAGCATAAATTACTTGGGGAAGAACTCCTTATTTGGTAAGAACTTCTGGGAAACTGAAAAGCAGTTGGCAGAGAATGGGTTTTGGCCACCCTCTTATGCTTGTTTGGCACAATAAACTCAGAATGATTAATGGTTATACCACCTGAACATTAAAGATCACATCTTTTTTTCATAATTAGAAGAAAACCAGATCAGATATCTTTCACAGCTTTGGCTAGGAGAAGAGCTCTCACTTAAACAAGGAACAAGAGGCAATTACAGAAGAAAAAACAGATTGTTTTGATTATGTGAAATTGAAAAACTTTCATGTGAATCAATCCGAATTGAAGAGATGGTTGCAGTGTGTGAGGGTGAGAGGTTGTGACCTCTCAAAGACTGAAGTACATGGGTCACCTGGAATGAATTCACAGACTCAAGCATTCTTTAAGGCAAGGTGGCAAAGTTTATTGTTACGCTTTTCAGCCGGCAAGGATTCTTAAAGGATCCTGCAACCTTAGAGAGGTACAGTTAAAGTTTATATAGGATAAAATACAATAAAACGTGCCAAATATGCTAACTAGGGGATTCAGGGTGGGATTAGGGAGTGGTTAAGGAGTGGTCAGTTCTTAAAAGAACATGCACTTCTTGTACCTACTGCGTAGGAGTTTTACCCAGAGTTCACTAGGAAAAGCCCACAAGGGGAGCCACAGGGAGGTGTGTTTTTAGGCCTGCTACATCACTAAGTCAACTAGAGTTCAGGGTAACTGAGAGTTGTCCAGTCTGCCACCAATCAATGTCTTGTTAGACAAGATAGATGTAGGGAGTATACATATGTCTTAAGTCTAGAATACAGTTAATGAGGCGCCCAGGACGTAGATAATAAGGTAGGGCAGTAGGATAGTATAGTAGTGGGTAAGAATGTCTTTATGACCCAGTGCAAAGCCAGTTTAAACTAATAAATCCTTCAGAGGGAAAGAGATAAGGGTCTTGCTGGGGCCCACTCATGCGTAATTGCTAAGCACAGGGTCCTTGGGCTGGGGAGAAACTGTCAGGGATGGTGTTTCTGAGGCGAGGGAAAAATTGGGGTCCAAGTACAAGCACCCAAGCACCCCGTCAAAATGAGAATGAAAAGTAAGCACATTGTCTAAGTGCTAAAGATACTACCGTGCTCCTTTTTGGTTGAGCCAATCTCTGAAATCAGTTTCTCTATAACTGATGGAAAACAAAGGTACTTCCCTGAGAAGGGCCTACTACCTGAGCACATATCCAGACCCTCCTTTCTCTCTAGGACTTCATTACTTAGAGGATGATAGGACTCAGCTGAAAGGAACCTTAGGTGAGCTCTAGTACAGGCTCTGGGGATACAAAGACACTTTGCTTTCAAGGTGTTTACAATCTAATTGGAGGAAAGGCATACATACAAATAACTATTATACCAAGAGGATGTGTACAAAGGAAAAGTTCTGGCAAAGTGCTATGATAATCTGGAGAGGGGAAAAATATCTTTGACTTGGGATGGAGAGGGAGGTCAAGGAAGTATTCTTGGAGGGCATGGTGCCTAAATTGGTCTTTGAAGAATGGATGCAAATGAAATGGCATCAGACCCCATTCCAGGCACACAAATAGGATGGGAAAAGGAATTAAGTTTAGTGTAGTTTGTCTGAAAAGCAGAATAATTTTTTTTCCTTTTTGGTTGAGAAAGAATGTGGGACTAGGGCTATTTTGCCCAGACTGGAAATTTATCAGTCACTCATGGGCCTGATCCTACTGCTGAACTACATGGAAGCTTTGACATGTTCCTTTTTCTACCTAGGTCCCTCCTTAGGCAGCCTGATAGCATCCTGCTCTTGGGGGCTCACCATATCTGTGCCAGACTTAGCATGGACAATCAATTGACTTTATCCCTACTGTAGCTCAAAACTCCTGAGCTCAAGAAATCCAGCAGCCTCAGGCTCCCTAGCATCAGAAACTACAGATATGGGCCACCACATCTGCCAAAGGCAGAAAAAAGGAAGGAGATCACTATGAAATAAGGCTAGAAAAGTAGATTGAAGCTAGATTGTAAAAGATTTTGAAGGTCAGGATCAGTAATTTATTATACTTTATTCAGAAGGCAATGCAAAACCATTGAAAAATTTTTGGTTAGGAGTAACATGATCAGATCAGTACATTAAAAAAGATTGTTTGGGAAAGTGTAAGAAAGATAGAGTAGAAAGCAGAGAAACTATAGGCTAGATGACTAGTTAGGCAGCTATTATTATAGACTGGGCAAAAAGAAATAAAAATCAGAACCTAGATGGTTGTAATGGGAGTTGAGAGGAAGAGATGAACTTGGGAAGCAGACTTCATTTACATAAGAAAATACAAGATAATCTGAGGAACTAGAGAGACCTAACAACTTAGTGGGACCAGGAAAGGCTTTACTCAGGTGGGGATACCCAAACTGAACTTGGGGGGAAACGGGATTCTACATACTCAAGGTGAGGAAGTAACTCATTCCAGGCATGGGGAACATCTTCTATTAAGACCCACAAGCAGAAGAAGGAATTCTGAGTTTGGAGTCCAATGAGTAGGTCTATTTGGCTGAAATGTTAGGTATGTGAGGGGGAATAATATGAAATAACTGGAGAGATAAGCTGGGGTCAGATTGTAAAGGGCTATATAAGGTTAGAAGTTTGTATTTTTTACCAATAGCTGTAAGATCAATCTCATCTCTGCTAAATTCAAACCAAACATCAGTATTTTATGGAGGGCAATTTTTTAAAAACCAAAGTTTTAAGTACTTCTTGCCAAGATGGCTGCCTGAACAGGAGGCAGGCTGCCCTGCTCCCACACACCTACCCAGCAAATCCCTGAAATTCACACCAGAGTAATGATCAAGAAATCCAATAAGAAACTATAGCAAGTGATTTCTTACACAGAACCATACATAAAAAGTCAGCCAGAGGTCCATGGTCAACAGGAAAGCAAACTCCTCAAGCAAAGTTAGTACTGGCAGGAGCAGAAATAGGACACATGCAACCTGAAAGGCTCTGTGTCCAGAAGAAGCAAGAGCAGAGGACTCAAAAAAAAGCCCTAGGGTGGGACCCTTGAAAGCCCCCTGGCAGTGCACAGTAACTACCACGATGCCAACCAGCATGGAAATCATAAATGAAAACTGCCCAGGTCTAATAGAACCAGAAAGTAATTTACAGACAGAAAGAAAGCATCAATCATCTCCTGAAAGAGCCCCAAAAGGAAAAGTTCCAGGAAGGTCAATCAAAATCTAGACCCCTCACAAAGAAAAAATACCATAACCATCCAGAAAAAAGCAGATAAAATACCAAGGAACTTCAGTTAGGTTCACATGAAACCTGGCATCTTTTACTGCAAATGAAAAGAGATCTTGAAATACAAAATTCCAAAAGGCAAAAGAGA